GGAAAGAAGGAAGAAAGAGAAAGGGAGGTAAAGAAAAAGGGGGAAGGAAGGAAAGTTAGAGAAAGAAGGAAGAAGAAAAGGAAAGAAAAGGAAAGATGGAAGGAAAGAAAAGAGAGACAGCAGAAGAGAAAGAAAAAGGGGGAAGGAAGGAAAGAGGTAGAGAAGGATGAAATGAGAGACAGAGGGAGGGAAAGAAAAAGGGGGAAGGAAGGAAGGAGAGAAGGAAAGAAAAAAGGGAATGAAGGAAGGAAAGAGGGAGGGAAGGAAAGAAGGAAAGAGAGAAGGAAGAAAAGAGACCAGAAGAGAAAGAAAAAGGGGGAAGGAAGGAAAGAGATAGAGAAGGAAGAGGAGAAGGAAAGATGGGAGGGAAGGAAGGAAGGAGGGAAAGAAGGAGAGAAAGAGGGAAGGTTGGCCACAGTAACGCGTGGCGGGTAAAGGTTGTTATTTCTATTATTATTATTATGCTATTATTCCTATGAGACCCTGGGGGAATGGGAGAGGTGTCAGGTCCCGGAGGCAATGCATTATTGTTATTGTTATGATGGTGGTGAAATAAAAGGAAATAAAAAGAGAAAGAAGGAATCAAACAGGGAAGGAAGAAAGGGGGAGGGAATGAAGGAAAGAGAGAAGGATGAAACCAAGTAGTGAAAGAAGGAAAGAAAGAAAGAGGTAGAGAAGGAAGAAAGGAGAGAAAAGGGGAGGAAAAGGGGGAAGGAATAGGTAGGTACCTCTCTTTCATAATAGTCCAGATATCTACCTCAACTTTGATAAGTTTTACTATAGGCCACAGCAACGCGTGGCAGGGCACAGCTAGTCCCATATAATAGTCTTAGAACAAAAGCAAAAAAGTAGCCTCTTCCATTGAAACCTGTTAGCATTAAATTTTTATATTGTTTATGTATTTTTCTAATGTGATCACACCAAAGATTTATATTGAAAGGCATTTCGGCATTGTCAGATTGGTTTTAATTCCTTTTCCAACAATTCCAAATAGGGAATTGGTGTCTTTCAGAACAGTCACATGCTGTCTTAGTGTTTTCAGCAGGCTCTCAACCACAGTCCCAAGGTCTGTGTAACACTGATTATAATGAATGGACAACCAACCCCCATCACTGTGCACTTTACAATTTGTCAATATTGAAACATACTTCAAGATCATTTTCCTGGTTTGAAGATATTTTTGTTGCTCTTTATTATAACGTTTAGTGTTAACTGATCTGAAAAGTTGATAACAACACTCACTGATCATCCTAACTCCAGATAATGAGTGAATAAGCTAGAAAGAACCAGTCCTAATACATATCCTAGATTGGAGATTTCTGTTATAAACCCAAATTTCTTCTCCTTGAAATAATTGTTGCATTGCTCTTTTTCCAAGACAGTAGGGGTTCCAGGTGATGGTTTTTATCTTGCCATTACTTTGTCTGGCACCATTGATTCCTTCTTATTTTTATACCACTGCTTCTATCAGCCAGAAATCCGTTAAAGAAGAATAAATGTAACTACTGCACTTCTGATCGCTAGCTTGGAAATCTCTCCACCTGGAAAGGCCCAGTGATACTGGATGAAATGCCGCATGTCTCATCAGCTTCCCAGTATTGGTTTATTTCTTGTGTTAAATGATCTTAGGAAACATGGCTGATAAAGACTTCGTTTTGCACCTTGGAGGGTCACCTGCCACACCTTAGAGCAGACAGTACTGGACGTAGATGACTGCTGGTCTGTTTCAGTGTGAGGCAGCTTCATATATTCATATCCCTAAAAGAGGAAGCCACCAGACCCTTAGTGGCAGCGTTTTAATGAGTAATACATGAGGTGGAGTGAATACCTGAAAGGAACGCCGCTTCTGCTTTAAATCAGAGTTCCTTGCCTTCACAGGACTTTCCAAGCCCTTGACTTCCCTATGCCACCTTCCTTTTTTCTCCTTTCTTTTTGACCCTCCTTTTTATGACTTGAGGGACACTTTCCTTTCCTCTTCCTTACTTGGAGACTGAAAAACCAGTTAAAGTGAAGAAGAAGAAGAAACAGAAGAAGAAAGAAAGCAAGAAATGTGTCCCGCTGCTCCCCGCAACCAGGCTAAGCTCCAGGCAAAATACTGTCATTGTGCTAAGTTCACAGAGGAGGTTAAGGAGAATAAGCAGAGCCGAAGGAGCATGCTGCTCAGGGATGCAACAACAGCCCTCCCCACCTTCAGCTTAGGTCCTGTCCCGGTCTGCCTTCTTGTAAGCAGGCTGGTCATTCTGAACCTGACTAGAATATATTGCTATCCCACCTAGGATTCTGCTGCTATTTTGACATCTCCGCTCAGCCTAATTCACATTAGAATCCCCCAGGTCAGCCAAATACGACTGACGCTACTAGCTCCATGTTAATAGGCTAGCTTCCAAACTTCATGAGAATACATGTCCCTGGCAAGAGGTATAGAAACTCTAATTCTGTATTGGAAAGTGACTGTTGTCATTCTGCACATCTCTTGAAAGTCAAGTTGTAATTCTTGTGCTTTTTAAAGATGTTTTACAATACTTGCAAAGACAAAATGGGAGTTTTATATGCTACACATTAAATATTTAAAAAGGAAAATATCCTTGCTTCTTTCTCAGCTTTTTTTTACTTCTGAACAACAAAGAGCAAGTTCTTGATTAAAACGAAATTGTTATTTTGTTCATAATTATCATTTGGGTGTGCGAGGTGGGTCTTTTTCACAGTCAGCCTAGACATTGTGATTATAGAAAATGTTGCTGGTAAATAAAAGTGCATTTTAAATTATGATTTATTGCTGTATTGTAATATTGCATACATTTCAAAATATTAATAAAAATTAAAAAGAAGGAAGAACCATTTGAAGATGAACCTGCAGTTTTATAACATGGAATGGAATTTGTACTTAGGGAGTGAAAAAAATGACCGGGGGTAGATGACATACCAATCCAACCTCTTCACGCTAGATCGTAAACCGGATCGGGGTATAGGGTGGCAACCTGTGTTGGACGGGGTTGCACTCCCCCTGAAGTCACAGGTCCGCAGTTTGGGTGTCCTCCTGGATTCATCACTTACGCTTGAGGCTCAGGCGTCGGTGGTGGCCGGGAGGGCCTTTGCACAATTAAGACTCGTGCGGCAACTGCAACCGTACCTTGTGAAGGCAGATCTGGCCAGGGTGGTCCACGCCTTAGTCACCTCTAGACTGGATTAATGTAATGCACTCTACGTGGGGCTGCCCTTGAAAATGGCTCGGAAATTCCAGATGGTCCAACGGGCGGCAGCCAGGTTGTTAACCGGGGCTCCTTACAGGGAGCGTTCAACCCTCCTGTTTAAGGAGCTCCACTGGCTGCCATTCATTTTCCGGACCCAATTTAAGGTGCAGGTTCTTACCTACAAAGCCCTGAACGGTCTGGGACCTGCCTACCTTCGTGACCGCATCTTTGTATACGAACTCACACGATCTCTTTGATCATCTGGAGAGGCCCTGCTCATGCTCCCACCTGCATCGCAAGCGTGATTGGTGGGGACAAGAGAGAGGGCCTTTTCGGTGGTGGCCCCTCGACTCTGGAACTCACTCCCTAAGGACATCAGGCATGCCCCAACTTTGGCAGTCTTTAAGAGGAGCTTGAAGACGTGGTTGTTCCAGTGTGCCTTCCCAGAATAATGATCCCATAGCACTTCATCCTCCAAAGCATTTTATATTGCTTTAGGTCTGCTCGTATGTTCCCACAAACCGCCCCATCACTTTTTTGCACTTTTTTAATCTTTTAAATTTTAATTACATTTGGCCTACCCATAGATTTTAAAGTGTGTTGTCCTATTGATAATGCTTATGTTATTGTTTTATTGTTTTGTTGTTTTAAATTGCTTGTATTGTTATTGTTATTGCTTGTATTGTTGTATTTTGTGCTCGGCCTCATGTCAGCCGCACTGAGTCCCTTGGGGAGATGGTAGCGGGGTATAAATAAAGTGTTATTATTATTATTATTATTATTATTATTATTATTATTATTATATTATTATTATTATTACTTGAAATGTTCATGACTTCTTTGTGATAGGTTATGTGAAGGACCTCTTTCACCTGTACCAGCCTGCTATACTTGCAGTTCATTTGCCGAGGTCTTGCTTGCATGCCTTTGAGGTCAGATAAGTAATCAGAAATACAGGTTTGTTAGCAGTGGCATTATCCTTACAAAACTTACTATCGGCTGGAGTAATTCATGCTATACTTTTTGTACTCAATGTTGAGCTCTGCCTGCTAAGGCAGTGGTTCTCAACCTGTGGGTCCCCAGATGTTTTGCCTTTCTACAGCTGGTAAACTGGCTGGGATTTCTGGGAGTTGTCGGCCAAAACAACTGGGGACCCACAGGTTGAGAACCACTGTTCTAATGGTTTCCTGGACTACATGGTGGAAATAATTTTAGTGCTCAAATGACTGGGTTGTTGTATTTGACTGGTTTTCATCCCTCTGTTTGATTTTTATTACTTATTAAGGTGTAAATCTAGTGTGATTGCCCCCACTTGCAAAAATAAGGAGCTCAGAAAGAACAGCACAGCTAGTTGCATCCAAAACTCTCTGTGTTCAGAATGTGTGTGTTTCCTGCACATTTAATTTTCCTTGGAGCCTGCATGAGAAGTTGTTATATATGAATTTTGTTGGCAATGAAATTGAAAATAAATTACTTCATGGGTGTCTTTAAATCCAGTGAAAACAATAAACGTTACCACATGCAACTTAATTTTTGGTTTGTGGCCATTCTGTTAGTCTTGCACATTCCTCTTAGAATATTTCAGTCAACAAAAAGTGAGGTGCAGTGAAATTACTTTTAAAGCAACAGTTTAATAGTATTGTAATTCAAAGTGTGTAAGAAATATTACAGGAAATAAATGGTGTGCCTGAAAGAAAAGAAGACTTCACTGTACTTCTCCAAAGGAGAGATTTTAATATATTTCATCACCAGGGATTTCTTTTTTACTTTTCTTTGGTCCTTAACATTTCTTCTTCTTCTTTTTTCTAGCTGCGACAATTAGTTAATATGTGCATCAACCCAGATCCAGAGAAGCGGCCAGATATAACCTATGTTTATGATTTGGCAAAACGTATGCATGCACACACCGCCACCAGCTAAAAGACCTGGCTGCTTATGAAGACAATAACAACCTAGAAACTTTCAAGTATTGTTGTATAAATGCTCTTCCACATTTTCTTCTATTTGCCTATTGCCTTAAATTTAGTTATGTGCAATGAACATATTTAAACAATTTTGTCATGGTGTTTATGACTGAAAACTACTTATATTTTTTAAAGAATAAAAATATATTGTGAAATACAACAGTTTAAAATATGACTGGGAGTCCTTGCTAATGGCGGGAAATGGCAATTTCATGTATATTATTAGATGAGAAGTTGACATATGTTTCCAATATTTGGTACTTACATATGAATGCTGCAAATTTTTATGTAAATACAGATGCTGTATTCCTACAAGCAAAAATATTGATCCCCTTTTGTTTTTAATAATTTATAGAAATGTTGAATCAGCACCATTTATTGCTCACTACTTTTATTTTGCCTCCTCCTCCTTGAGGCCTTTAATTATTGAATTTTACAGTATTGCTTGCCCAAATAAATGTAGATAGAAACCATTTTATTGGCTGTCGAACCTCAACACTGAATGTGAATAAAATGAGGGCTTTATTTTTTAAAAACTGTCCAACACTGAAAAAATATAGCAGTGAACTGTTCATTTCTTTTTATTGTACTGTAACTTAACCCCAAAATACACTTTTATTTTATTATTTGCGTTACGCAGTGACTTGTTCCACCAGCCTGTTGGGTGAGTAAGAAAAAATCGTACATTTGCACAGTACCTTGACCTCTGGTTGGATCATTCCCCAAATTGGTAGCTAGATTTAGCTTTACCAGCAATTCCAAACCCCTTAATTTCAGTGTCACAACACTGAGCATATGAGATCAGCAGTGTGGAGAAAAAGGGTTAAGGTGAATTGTCCCTTCCTGTTGTAGTAAATCAGTTAATTACATAGAGGCACATAGCTCTTTGTAACAGTGTCTTTGAGAAACCTAGATTGAAGAGAAAATTGCTTCACAGAGCTGTCCTTTTTATATTACTTTTGCAAAGTTAGATACATGTATAGCTTATTCAGATGCTTTTTCATGCTTCAATTATTTTGAAGTCTAGTTCACACCCAAAACTTGAGACCTAGAGGAGTTGGGATTAGTTCATTGTAGACATGTATAGGAGTATACTGCATATTGTATGAGGCCTAAATTATATAAAATATCTACTGTTCGGCAGATGCATATAAATTCATACTTGGAATAGTTTCGTTATGCACCATAGTGTCTGTTTGGGTCAGTGAGTAGTATTTTTTTTTTTACATGGCTGAAAACTGTTGACAGAACTACATTGTGGCACAGAGCTAAACTTTATGGCAGTATACCGACTTTGTGGCAGACAGAAATTGTTAAATCTACAAAAATGGGGGAAACTGCTTCCTAAATAATTCATTATATGTTTTCTACTTCTCTGGTTTTATTTACAGAAAATGCTACCTTGAGAAAGCTTCATTTTGTGAGTTTTATAGAATATGCTGAACAAAGCCATAGTTAATTGGATAATTAATTAATTAGATCAGTGTCCCAGGATTGTTCCCTATTTTCAAGGGCTTGGAAGAATATTTATTTTGGAGTAGGAAAGCATTAAATTGTAATCTGAGCTGTTGATCACTTGCAAATTTCTTGAAGTATTAAAGTGTTTTACTTTATAAGGATAATTTCAGCAAGAAGTAGTCAATGGGCATTATTCACCAATTGGTGGCACTGAAAGAAATATTGCAGCAGTGTTGAGTGGTTTGTCACACTCCCGACATTACTGGGCTGCAGTTTCCATTGCCCAAGCTGTGTCGCCAGTGTGGAGGATGATGGGAATTTTAGTCTAACATTTGGAAGATCACACTTTTCCTGTCCCCTCTTTACAGGATTTCTTTATAAATATTAATCCCAACAGGTTTAACTAATTCACAATGGAGCATCTCCTTCCTCCTTTCTTTTCTACTTTCTGCTTTATGTTAATTGCTATAAAACTATGAATAATAAGCAAAATGTATACAGAACCCCTCTGGTGCTTATGTTGATGATGCTTATTTAGGTTTGTTATAGTAGACTGCAGTGGTGACACAGCCTCCACAATATTTTGTTTAACATCAGGTGGAATTGTGAATCTTACATGCATGGTACTTCTTCTCTATAATTCCAGAACCCTCTGTCAAACCTATATATGGAGATGATTATCAGGGCCTTTAGGATCTCTAGCTCTTGTGACAAGTAAAGTGGGAGTCATTTCGTTATAGAGCAATGCTGTGCTAGGTGCTCAGATATGTTTGTCCCAGTTGCAGAGGGTCTGCCTAGCTTCCTGGGGATAGTCTTTCCTTGGTAAATTGTGATATTAAGCACTTTCATGACTGGAGGAACATCTATCTGTCTTTTGAAGTCAAGCTCTCCAATTTTGCATTTCCAACCAAGGGATGCTAAACTCAGATTTGATGGTCTCAAATCCCCATCAGCCCTAGCCAGCATGGCCAGTATTGAAGGGTAATGGGAATTGCATGCCCATATCCTACCAGATATGCCTGATGGAGTGTCTTTTGGGCTTGAGTGCCATCTTTTGGACTGTCCTGAACCAGAAACTTTGTATTGATACACTTTGTGCTTAGGACTTCTTAATTTGTATTAATGCATACCTAGTTTTCAAGAAGGAGAAACAACAATTGCCTATATGAGCAAGTTGGTTAAGCACAAAGAAAGAGAGTGAACGCCGTAGTTTTCATTAGAAGGTTTCCCAAGACTCTGGGATTGTTTTGCATCCCATCCCCTTATGAATGAGACCAAAATTGCATTTGCTTTGGAATTCAGCATAGTGTAGGGCGGTTATTTACCAGTAATCAATGAGGGTCAAACAAATATCCAGTAATATGCTTTTGTTTTTTTTCTTGAAGCAAATGTAATTTTAGTCCCATTCATTAAAAATTGCAAGAAAAACAACCTCAGACAAACAAAACAAAGTCTCATGAAGCCTTTTAATGAAAACTATCACATTACCAAGACCAGCTGTCTTTTGATACGCTTCTTTCCCCTGCCTCCTTTAGAATGTTTAAAAGAATCGGAGGCAAAAACTTGCTGTATTTAACTTAACAGCTTAATTTCGTTGTCTTTTTAGTTTAGTATAAGTCTCACTAATAGAATTTGCTCCCAAATTAACTGACAAATGCCAGAATTTCTTTTTCCAAATGCATCCTTAATTGCAAAACAACAAACCTTTTTGGAAACCAGAAAATTGCTTCTAAGATGAAGTCATGCTGATAGTCATTTTGAAGCTTTCCTAAACTGACCCCTCCAAAACAAAGAGACTTTCATTAAGAGGCTGTAGCTAATCCTAATAATGTATCATGTTTTGTGATGAATGACCAGTGACATTGACTGCGTCAATCAAAGAAAAACTCTTACTAATATTTCATACATGTTCCACTGGCCTCTGCAAAGCTGGCTTAGCACTGATGCCCCTCAGGCACTATGCTATTGCTGTGTAATAAAAATAAATGTAATGAAGATAGATTTTGCTCATCATCCTATCAGGTTACCAGTATACTTCTGCTCCCAGTACTGAAGGATGAGGTAAAAATGGAAAATTTGCTTCATACAAAACAATGCAGCTGGGAAAGCAGTAGCCATCTTTACCTTTTCGGCACTGATGCTGGCAGAATCACATTACCTATTCAAGACTGGGAGAGTTCTATTGGAGCTTTTCATACCAGTACCAGAAACCCTTTAAACAGATGAACATCTTAAAATGTTGACCTGCAAGGAATGCTTTCTCCTAAACATTGCTACGAGCCACTGTTTATGCAATCAACACATGTCCACATTACTTTTTTTCATACTTGTCCTTGTATTCAATTGATTCTCTTTATGGTCTGTGAAAGCTAAAACTCCCATCAGCTTCTGAAGAACTTGCTGTGTGCATAAAGTATGTTGTTTCCTAATTATAATCATCTGCCACCATGTCCTCCAGAATTGGGAGTGGATTTGGCAAGCAGCCACCTCAGTTTGTTTCCAGGAAAGGTGAATGTAAGAAAATGAAAGTGCCACAGAAAGATACTACAAGAAACCCGTATTCTAGAGCAGGCCTGCACAACTTGTAGGCCATCAGGTATTTTGGACTTTAGCTCCCAGCATTCCTGACTATTGGACAAACTGATAAGGGCTTCTGGGAGTTGGGAGCCCCAAACATCTGGAGGGCCATAGATTGAAAAGGCCCGTTCCAGTAATGAGAGTGTATCAAAGGTGGGATTCTTTCACCCGGGACTCAGTTGTGGCAAATTGTCAACTCAGTCAAAGTTTGGAAAAGTTTGAGCCACTTCTCATAGAATCTTCCCAACCAGCTGATAGGGGAATCTGGGAGATGCACTCCAACAGTTTAACTTTTCAGAGCTCCACCTTATTTAATTGCAGTGTCATCTAGGGATAGCTTTTTCAGTAAGAGTATTTACATATAAGAATTACTGCTAATGAATGCCCTAATATTTTTTCTTTAGCACTAGTGGGAAATACTCTTCTAGAAACCACATATATGCAGATATTTAAACATTTTCTGTATTTATTTAATCCAAACGATTGTTTGCATCAAGAATGCTTATTCTTTGAAATGAATGTATTACTCAGTAATCAAAACATGTATGCATTTTCCTGGCCCTATAATCCAGTAATATTGTTGATAGTTTTGACTTCATAAAATACTTGTATTTTTGTGTTTATTTTGTGCTGTCTTCACTCACTGTACACAAAGACTGTGCTTTGTGCTTGGAAATGTATATTGTACAATAATATAAATAAAGGATGCACACATCAAATATATTATAAAGTAAAACAGCCTTGGTATCTTTTCTTTTCTCTTTATTATTTTCTTAATCTTATGATGTGTACTAGTTGAAAGTTATTTGTTACACTTGAAGTTAAGAAAATGATTTACCTTAACAAAGATAAAGGACCGTAGTCTCACATTTATCAGAATATTTTAGCAATCTGTTTCCATATTCCCTATATTACTGCTGTTATTTACTCCATAGAGAGTGTCACATATGTACATAACAGCAACTCAATAAAAATGTCAGATATTTGTGGATGTTTCCATATGCTCAATGAAGGTGCTCAAAAAGCAACTGTCTCTCCTGTTTTTCGCACATCTTGCGGGCATTCCCATTCTGCCAAGAGAGACAAAATTGCATCACTTAACATGGTAAGCTTCTATAATGCTAAAAAAGAATGTGTGTCCTTGACCAAGTTTATTTCAGTCATAGCTCCAAGAATTTGAAACCTTAAACCCTGCAGGAATTTTGAGGGGATTCTGAGCATACATCTCAGAGTTATTTATTTTTTAATTGATCATTTCTAATTCATATTTGTTGCCTACAGCAGAAGAAATTTCCTAACCAGGAGAAAACCATGAAAACAGAAGCCAGGAACTTGAGACTGAATGAAGCGTTCCAGGTGTAGGGTGAAAATAAGAGTGGTAACTCTGCTTCCTTTGTCTTCTGCCTTGTAGACATGCTGTTTCTCTAACATTCTTCCTTTCTTAAAGATTTTGCTGGATATATATACATCCTTCCTTTTGCTGATAATACGTGCATCTTTTCCACAAAAAGCATATGCCGAGAGGGATTTAATATTTCAGCATCCATTTGACTTGGAACCAGTGGTCCAAATGTTATTTCCCATTTCTATGAAGTCTGTACTCCTCAGAGAAGAGGATACCTACTCAATTGGTCACGAGGTGAGAAAAGCATTCAAAAATGTGCTTGCTATGCAGTTACAAGTTTTCAGTTGTCAGGATGGGAGTAAGAACAAGAACATAAAAGCAGCCTATCTATATAAAAATGTAATGTTCATTTGTGGGATGAACAGAACTCAAAAATCACTGGACGAATTGGCACCAAATTTGGGCACAATACACCTAACAACCCAATGTATGTCCTTCACTAAAAAAAAATATGATTTTGTCATTTGGGAGTTGTAGTTGCTGGGATTTATAGTTCACCTACAATCAAAGAGCATTCTGAACCCCACCAACGATGGAATTGAACCAAACTTGGCACACAGAACTCCCATGACCAACAGAAAATACTGGAAGAGTTTGGTGGGCAGTGTCCTTTGGTTTTGGAGTTGTAGTTCACCTCCATCCAGAGATCACTGTGGACTCAAACATTGATGGATCAGGACCAAACTACACGAATACTCAATACACCCAAATGCGAACACTGGTGGAGTTTGGGGAAAATAGAATCTTGACACTCGGGAATTGTAGTTGCTGGACTTTATAGTTCACCTTCAATCACAGAGCATTCTGAATCCCACCAACGATATAATTGGGCCAAATCTCCCACACAGAACCCACATGTGGGCCACAACAACGCATGGCAGAGGACGGCTAGTATTAGAATAGAGCAGATACCCATCCAGTTCAGTAACATTGTCCTTGATGCCCCTGGAAAGGTTTTTCATCTAAACACCATGTATCTATTAATATGGCTTACACAGTTATGGAATACAATGGTCCCTTCATATTCACTTGAGTTGGTTCCAGAATTCTCCATGGATACTAAAATGTATGGATTGTGTACAATCGCATAGTAAAATAATCCCCGTTATATAAAGTGGCAAAATCTAAGTTTGCTTTTTGGATTTTTTTTTAAAAAAAAACATGGATGGCTGATTCTGTGGGTGCATAATCTAGAGGAACCACTGAAAAAATTGATTTACACAATGGTATAATTTTCAGGTAGCAAATAGTTAAAGTACAAACAAAACACATTTCTGTAACTCCTATGCTAAATTTTTAGAAATCTGAATGAATGGAAGTCTGCTACACTCCACCTTGAAGCAATAGCTATCCTGGATAATTTTGCATGTTTGTTTCAGTATATCGTAATTTAAAAGATGGCTTGATCCAGCGCTTGCGCATTTGAACTTAATTCATTTCAATGTATTGTCGAAGGCTTTCATGGCCAGAATCACTGGGTTGTTTCATGGCCGGAATCACTGGGCTATATGGTCTAGAGTCACATGGCTATATGACCATGGTCTAGAGTCATTCCCTCCTGACGTTTCGCCTGTATCTGTGGCAAGCATCCTCAGAGGTAGTGAAGTCTGTTGGAACTAGGAAAAAGGGTTTATATATCTGTGGAATGACCAG